AACTCTGACCTGTGATGTGGATGAGGGATGGAGGAAATGCCCAGGAGAGCACTGCTGGGCAGATTTAAAGTGTTTAGAAAAACTCCCCATGCTCTGTCCCAGGTACCTCCATATAAAAAGCACCAGCATCTGGAGACAAGTGTGCTAACCCTTGAAGGCTAGAACATAACTGAAATATATTTAAATACAATATTAGAATGAATAACTCAAAGATTACCATCATGTATCTCAGCCCTGAATCCACTTGCTGTTTGCCAGTGTACCTTCTGACAGCTGGGGTAACAGCTACTTTATCTCCAGGTTTTTGCAGCAGGAGCAATAACAGCTGAAACTGCTGACCTCAGCTGCTGGTGGTAAACTGGGGGGATAATTCAGAGTTAGCCTAAGGCTCCCTCTGGAGTTACAGGAACGATCAGTGCCTCCAAGGAGGGATTCAGAGACAGAGTCAGAGTCTTTCTGGAGAGCTCAGTGTAGGGAAAACCCAGAGAGGTGCTCTCCCTTTGCCTTGCTGGAGCTATGCCAGTGCAGGGCCACTTTCTGTTTTCTCTTGTAACTGGGGAGAAGAAAACTTGCTAACCTAAATTAGGTTGCAGTGCTGAGACAAAGATATACCACAGTGAATGTTGCAAAGCTAAGGGACATTGTCCAAACAAATATTGTGCTTGCCTAAGCATTACCTTAAGTTCAGTTAATTAGTGATTTAAACTTTGGCTGATTTTAGGGGCAGTTGTTTTTCATTTTTGTACTATTACATATTCTATCCACATAGCTTTAGTTTTCAAGTACAAGTGATGCTGTATGTTGGGAAAACTGTCAAAAGGTTTGATTTTCTGAACATGTATGTCAGAATCCACAAATCAGCTCTCACAAACTATAAGGACCACATAAATTAAACACCCGAGATCTGAAATAATTTTTGTAAAGCTCTGACCCTGTATTTGGAGGAGTTTGAAGGCACTTATGAGAGATTTCTTTGTTCAAAACCAATTCAGAGAAACCTTGAGATTCCCACTGGTTTTAGTTCAATTTTCAGCTACTGTTGTACCTCTTTGAGTGGGTGCCACTTGCTGTTGTGACAGCTGTGACTATAAAACCAACATCTGTGGAAAACCCATCATTTCTGCTAGAACCTGAACTTCTTTGATATAATGAGCAAATACTTAAGCAATTAAATAGTATTTATCCATACATTATCTCCAAAATACACAAAGAAATGCAACTCTTAGGAAATATTCCCTATCACAAAACTAATCTTGCTACAAGGTTAAGCTCTCCTACTCTACAGTGCAAGCTGGACTAGACAGAATAGATCATAGATGTTACTTACAACCTGGGAAGCATTGCTAAAAGTGAGCAGAAACATGCTGAAATAAGAGGGAGCCTTTCTGTTGATTTAAAAGGCCATTACAACTGTGGTGCTGAATATTTTATCTGCTTTTAAAATTGTTACATATATCATTAACTACTATGAGAATTAAGCAAGCATACGACAGCTTGTTCCTGCTTTCCAAATTTTCAAAGTATTTTTTGGTTTTGGGGGAAGGGGTTGTAGCACTAATATCAAGGTGTCTTTAAAACCCCATTTCACAAAATTCTCTGTATCCTGACTCCTCTAAAATAACTTATTTAGCAATAAAATGTTTAATGAACACAGTACTTGATTACTGAAACATATAAATAAACATTGTCTTGTTTTGATATTAAAAACCTCTTTTGTGTCTTGGGTAGAAGCAGGCTTTTTCATACAAAGCACAGAACAAACTTTTTGCTCTTAACTGGCAATGCCACAGCTTGAAGACAGATTGGTTTGCTATTAAGAATCTTGCTAAGTCAATGGATATAGTTTTTCCTTCTTCCTTTATTTACTATGTAAAGCACTAGGAAATATAGTTGTTCAATGCTCCAGAATCTCTTCTTCTATTTGTGTGTTTTTCAGAAAATGCTTCCATATTTGGTCTTTTTCTGTAAAATGTGTAAGACTAATCATTACATGCTATTTAAGATTAAATTTGGTTAAACAGTCATCACACTCCCTCCATTCCCAGAAAAAAACCCAATCAAATAATTTTTAAATCCTTTTTAATAAATTAATATTCATTCATCAATATTTTCATAAAGCATCTCTTCATCATTCCATTTTACTTTTCTTTTTTTCCACTGCAGAAGAATACCGAAAATACATAGCTGTGCCTTAAGCAAAAAGGACTGGGTTTTAGTTTATCTTTACAATGGGATGAAATCAACTTGGAGTTAAACCACCATAATATTTCTACTGTTTGTTGACCCTTTTGGCTATAACAGAAGATAGTTCCAGTTTTCATTTTTTAAAATGCCTTTTACAAACAAATTATATGTAAATGTTATTTATAGTAGTGTTGAGTTACAAAGGAGTTAATTAGCTATGAAATACAATACTCTGGTGTGATTTAATTGAAATTACCGTTTTTAGTCTTAAAGCAATCTATGGTTAAAATAATATACTGCAGCTAGTGCACAGGGTCAAGAGTCAGAAAATGGGAGGTCAAGGCAAACACTGTTCTTATCATGTGGTTGTACATGTGTATTTTTGTGTGTAAGAAGTCGTGCTGGGACTGTAGGAACAGAATTGGCAAAAAAAGGCACAAAAAATGTGTGTGTAAGATGAAGTGTTAACCTTAAGCAAGATTTTTTCCTGGCTTTTTTCAAGTCAAACCAAGACTTGGATCTGTTCAAGGTTAAAGCTGCTTGTGACTAAACCAATGAATGTGAAATCTTTTGAAAAAGCTGAAAAAAAGCCTACTTTTTGCAAGGACAGACAAGATGGGGAGTACAGTTCTCTGAAGGGGGCTGCAGTAACGTGCTGCCCTCCAGCAGTGCAAAGGGTATGAGAGGGACAGAGTCCTCAGAGACTCAGCCCTCTTGCACATGCAGGGCCCCAAAAAATCCACACTGCCTCTTTGCTCTGTACAGGGAGTAATTTTCTGTCTTCTTGGAAATTCTGGTTGAAGCCACTGAAGAACTGATTTCAGTGGGATTTGGAATATACATTTCTATCACAACTAAAAAGTCACTTATTGAAGGTTTCTGCCTGGCCATGTGATTTCTAGGAGGTGGGGCTTGAAGAAAAGGGAGTGCTGTGGTTAAGTCAGGAGGGCAGGACCATTCTCAAATCTGACTTTTTAGGGTAGTTCTTTTAGAGTACTTACAGGACGACTTGCTTGGGGATAATTTCAGTAGGGAAATTTTTCTAAAGCAAAGCCTACCATTTAAAATGTTTATTAAAATCAGATAGTTTTATTTAAACATATTTTGCTATTAAGATAAAAACTTAGGAGAGGTTTTCAACAATTCTATCTAATATGTATTTTGGGAGGGTTTTAATTGTTAGTTTCTTTGATTATAAAGGTGACAATGTGCTCTATAATCCCTTCACAGTTTGGAGAGATATTTGAGAGCTCACAATATGTTGCGCTGTACCAATGGGACTTAATACTGAGGAGCTTTAAAACACCAAGTTTTTCTGCTCCAGCTACACAAGTTCCTTTGAGGCTCTTCATGCTGTGTAGTTGTCTGCAGATACAGTGCTTAAAAACTGCAGCTTCAGCCACTTTGCACCATTGCCAAGGATGCAGCGGGACTGCGGCGCTGATCCTGCCCACGGCAGCAGCCGGGGTTCCGATGAACATTCCCGGCTGGGGATCGCACTGCAGCCGCGCCACAAGGCAATGCGCCCAGCCCATCCATGCTCAAGGAGCAGCCTTGAGGATGGAACTGAAACACCTTTGCACACCAGGCTCATCTACACTGGAATTTCAGTCCAGAGCAGTTTCACAGTTCAGCTGCAAATAGGGATGGGAACACAGCAGCAACCCAAATATCGGTGCTCTACTCACAGGTAAATCAAGTCCTAGCGAGAATAGGGGGCGGCCGCTACAGAGCCAGGGTGGCGTTTTCAGCTTCATTCATATCTGATGCTTTTGCTAAATGCATATCCACACATATTTTTGCCCATAGAAGTCTCCAGCTAGCATTCAAAGCTCTCTGTCAAAAAATCCCATTGATGTCCACAGGAATTTCGCATGCAGAGAAGTGTCAGGGCTAAGCCTGAATTCTATTTTTTTAGATCTATTTATGCTACTGTATTTGTTGTTATTTGAGAATGTACATGATAGAAACACTGTTTACAAAAAATATATCTTCTTTTCTTTAGAAAGATTTAGTTCTGCTAAATAACAAATTAGGTTTACAGATCTGAAATTGGCATACCTCGATGACTACAATTTACTAGAATGAAAAAAGTTGGAATCCCAGGGAGGGAGCGAACTGGGATCAAAACTAAAATGGTCACATTTGCATGAAGGGTATGTTAGAATACAGTTAATGCTGAAACAAAACATACTCTTGTGATCTGTGATGGCAGCACACTACCTTGGTAAGTGTAGGCGTATACTTTCAGTATATAAATAAAATATGAAAATGCTCCATTACTGAATCAAAGTATCAGAAGTGCTCTATTTGCTCAACTCTAGAGAATAAAAAGTTATAACATCACAGAAACAAAAATATGACATAACATGCGGTCACGATAGCAAGCACAGGAAAGAAAAATATTGAGAAAATATACTTATATGCATATTATGCAAATATATTTTACATTAACATACAATGTTATAAGAATGTTAAATAATATGAATGCATGTTTAAAAAAGGCTACAGCTAGGTGATTTCATGTTGAAGTAACAAATAACCTGAGACATCTTCTATGCTTTCACTGGAATAACAATCTTTAAATCTACAGCAGATGTAGAGCATATTGACAGTAGTTGAATTCTCAGCTAAATTACACTAGAAATGTGCTGTTCTTTTTCAAAATGACATGGCAGCTGGAATCAGTCCAAGGGAAGGAAAATGTGCTGTACATTTACAGTACTTACAAAAGATTCATGTCACTGTTGATGGACACTTAAAATGTTTGTTTGAAATATTATAAACCTGTATATGTCTCCAAAGACCTACAACACTCCCATGATCAGTTTGCTTACTGCAGAAGAGAAAGCAAGAGATCATTAAAAACTATGTCCATCCTGGACTGGGAAAATATGTATTATGACATATATAAACCCAAAAAATTTAGCAAAGAAAAATAAATTTGGCTTGATGAAATGGTAGTTGATGGATCTGCAAAATAAATAACTTATTTTAAACTTACCAGTGTAACATTACTGCTTTATGGTTAGTGTGTATGGCAGCATTTACAAAGGATGTTACTAAATACTGACTTTATACATGATTACAGCTGTTCAAAAATTTCTATGACAATCAAAATTTTGTATTGATAATATACAACACTTACTTTCTCAAGGTTTGCTTCTTTGATGACACCTGCCTTTCAATTTAAAAAGTTCCTGTGAAGTGCATTCTATGTTAAAGTGTCCATAACCTCAAAATGAATGTGTTCATGTGTGTGTGCATACATATATTTTTGCTTTGCAGTATGTGCTTTAAAGTACACACAGTTCTTTGCTACATGTATTCACACATACATGAGTATGGTCTACATAGTAAAAGTTCATATATATAATTTTTTATATATAAATATATATATATATAAATATATATATAAACTCTGCAGGCAAGTAATACTTCACTTGTTATAGTTGAAGTCCTTTAAAAAAACTAAGTCACTCAGTTAACATAGTATAGCCAGTAAATTAAATTGAAAAGAGAAAATGTGAATGGAAACACCATTCTTGACCATCTGTCGATGGCATTCACATCTGTTAGATCAGGGATTTTTATTTTCAGTTGCGAAGACCTTCTTCGTAAATGGCCCCTCTTGCTATGGGAGCCTGTTCTTTCTGAGGGACGCCTTCCAAGGCTTTCACGATGTGAGCTTTGCTTTCTGTACTGGATTCCTGAGTTGTCAAAGGATATCGTTGAATTTCGGGCTTCTGTAACGCTGGTGGTGACCTCGTTGCTTGCCACCTCATTGTGAATTTCAAGCGATGTTAGCAGAATGTTTCCATGGGTGTCCACCTGGGGAGAAAAAATAGAAACATAAATTCTTTCAAAAGACTTGACATCGATGAGCAGAATGTGGGTGTATGTAAATCACCAAACCCATACATATCTAGAAAAATAATGTAATTAGTTTTAAGCATGTGATAATCTTAAAAAAGAAATGGCACTATTCATCTGCCTAAAATTAGGCAAGTACTTAAATACTTTTACATCCTGCTTTGTTATTATCATACTACCCCACATCCAGTACACAACCATACTAGGCAAACTCCACCATTTTCTTCTCCCTCTGAACCAGCCACATTTTAGAGGATGCTGTAGTTCAGTGAAACCTCTGCATTGCTGGCAATGGCGCGAGAGAGTAAGGGATGGATCCTCCCCCTGCTACAGTAGGAAATTAAATTTAACTGGCTAGACATTTATTTTCCTAACTGTGATCTAAAATAAGAATTTTAAAAGTGCCTGTGAAGTTTGCTAAAATCACAAGAACAGTTCTTATGTGCTGAACTCTGTATTTTACAATCACAGAGCTTATTTACAACTTATCTCCTGAAGTTTTCCTTCCAAAGTCATTTGCATGGTTTTCCAATCACGGCAATTTTTAACTGCAGGGATTTTCTGTATGAGTGATTGATCTTAAAAACTAATGAAGTTAAGGCATAGAAAAAAAGTGAAGATACAGGACAGACTCTTCCCTTTCACTGCCCTATTCCAGAAGCAGTGACCAGTGTTTAGCACTAAGTGTATTTATCATGCTAACAAAGTCAAAGTCTTGTTAAGAGAAACTTGACAGAGATTTCTGTGTAGATATGTTGGTTTAGTGTTAATAATAATTTGCTTAATTTAATAGCAACTACAACTGCAGCAAGGTCAATGTTTGTGTTAGCAGTAACCATACCCAGTCAAGGACTAGGCATCACGCTGATAGACAAAAAACCAGGTCCCTGCCCAGCCATATCACAGAGACTCCATACAAAAATCCTAAAAACCCCATATATATTTCCAAGTACAGAACAGGGTAATGCCATTTTCAGTAATAAAGAAAAAAGTCCTGATCATTTAGAGTCTTAAAATCTGAGCCAGACTCTCCAGTCCTCCTGAGTGGCAAAAGAGGAGCAGCACAGAGTTGTGTATGGCTCCATCAGTCCAGACACCTTAGGAATTCCCATGAGTGGCACTGAGGAGAAGTTCCAAGGAATGGTGTCTGAATCAGTACTTGATAGTTTCATTGGTGGGGCATCACAACCCACAAGCCCCAGGCCCTACATGCTGAAGGATGTGCAGTCAATACAGGTAATGCAGGGATCAGCTCCAAAATTTTCTGCCAGTTTTGGGGCAAGGAAAATGATGGCTGAAGGTAAAAAAATGCCACGTGCTGGGTGTTTTCAGACAATTAACACACGTGTGACTCTGTTCAAGAGAATTTAGTTCTCTATGTCAGAAATAGGTAGTGAATCATGGAATACAGGGTAATTTCCAGTTTTACATATGCAATTTGTTCATCCATAATTCATCACACAATTAATACATTTCTCTAACCTGCCACATGATGTAGCAGTGTGAACTGTGTAGTAGTTGAACATCTCATTCCAGAAGCATCAGTTTAAAAGTGATTGTAAAAACAGACTATTGTCACAGCCTTCTGAAGTTTGCACAGTCATCTGATACCACGTCCTTTGCAAGCTGTGCGATGGATTAAAAGTATGTGCAGCTATGTTTCTGTCCATACGAATTTAACTTTTTTCATTCTTTTTGAAATCTTGTGAAATGGATATTTCTTTCATCAATTACTGATGCTTCAGCTTATCTCTTCACAGGGAAAACAATTATGATAGTATATCAGTAATGCTTTGCCAAGGTGCTTGCAAATGGGAATGGAAAAAAAAGAATGTAAAATGCTATGAATGATATACAGCCAAGTAGGAAAAAAATTCTAAGGTATCTAACAAATCCTGCTGCTGTAGGCAATGGCACATTATGCTGATGAGTGCCTATAAATAAAAATAAACAACATGAACAAAAATAATGGCATGGAGAAGCCTCAGTGGTGATTAAGAAGAATTTATTTTCTCCATTGCAGAAACCCTTTGGGTAGAAAAGTAAGATCTCAAGGTTTGTAGAAAGGAGTTTTTGCTGTTGAGCAATCTCTGTAACCAGAGAATAAACACAAGTGTATAACTTGTATTATAAACACAAGTTTATAATACTAAACACAATGTATAAATGTATACATGACTGTATGTAATACAGTCATGGATATCATCACTACTTATGGTGGTCTCTGAAAAAACTGATTCAGTTTCTTCTGTTCCCTTTTTTTTTTCCACCAAGAGTCTAAATTATGATCAGGATTTTTTTTTTGTGCAATGTGTAAAATATCTCAACAACCTGTTTTTTCCTTGTGTAGCTTAAAACTAAATCTCTCATTCAGACCCCCATGGCATCAAATGTTATCTTTCCCATCTCCTTCTAGGCTTTAAGAAACATCCTTCAGCTTACTAAAAATGTCATAGCAGAGACATTTTGGTGGGCTTTACACCTAGAGCCCTGCCATCCCCCTGCAGGTCTCTATTCCTTTTCCTTCCAACACCACAAATGTCAACTCTTCTTTCCCTCAGGACTTCCTGATCTCTCCTTATTCTGTCTGCCACCTACATGGACACAGACACCAGCCCATCCTGGGTACTTTGTCCTTCTACACTGAACCTTGACTGTTGCGAGCTGTCAATTGAAAGCCTGTATTATGGAGGGTACACCTATGCATTCAGGCTTCTCCTGATCAAGGAATTAATTTTATTCCTATTATTTCCTTGCATGGCATAGCCTTCTTCACCTTATCTGCCAACTTCACATGCCACCTTAACACGGCTTCTGCCTTTGATGTGCCAACTTTTCATGGTTTGTCACTGCATCTAGAAATCAAACCAGAAAGGCAGTCAAGAAAGTTGCAACTTTGTGTAAATTCTTTTTCTGAAGATACCAGTATGTCCTATGAAGCTGCATGACAGTATACATTTTTCTCAAAATGTCAAATGAAACATATTTGGAAACATAGTTTAGAAATTCATCTCTTTGCTAATGGATCAACAGGCTTGCATGTCAAATATGAGGAAGGAGCAGATGGAGAGAAGAAAGGGTCTGCAGAAGCTAAATCAGCCTCTGGTCCACAGATATTCTTGAGATTTGTTCTCTCAAATTGATTCCTTCAGAGGTTTTGAATAAACCACCTAAGCTGTTGACAACATTAGAGCACTATATGCTAATACTTTGTGACAATCTTAAAGTCTGAATACTTAATGCATGCAGCATGTTAAAAAGTATTTGCACAAAAACATGACTTTGGAATCATTTAAGCAAGGATTTAAATTACTTTGACAAAGGTACACAAGCTCTCTCAATGAATAAAGAAGCAAACCAATAATGGCAGGGTAACCTGTGCAAGTCGCCTCATGATTGCCTGAATATACAGGGAAGGCAGAAGCCTTCATGAATGAACCCGAGTGTTGCTCAGTGGCTCCAGGGAAAATGTTACCCCAGGTATAGATTAAGAAAAGTAGCTGACTGGATTACAGGCAGTCATGGCTATGTATGACAAACAGGGCCAATGTCTTTGATAAAATTTAGTTTTACTCTGTATGAGCCCTAGAATACAATTTATCACCTGGCTCAAAAATGTCACTCTGTGCACTGGAAATTCTCCCCAAAATGCTAATAGCAGGCTTTACTCTCAAATGCTGTTATAAATCAGAGAGGACACTGTGGATTTGGCCAATTTCCCCTCAATTCTTACCATCCTTCACTTCTCTGCCAACCCTGTGCTTCCATTCTTTTTGCAGCCTTCTTTCTCTGCACTTTGGCTCCACTGAAGCTATTCCTTCCCACTGCTCCACTATGGTCTCCATGTTTGGTTCTCACATCTCCTCCCCAACACAAGCAAGGGTTGGTTGTTTCCTTTTGATGAATTTCCAGTAAATTCATCAAAACAGATGAAAACAGCTGAGTACCAAATCATTCATTAATTCTCTGCTTAATCAGCATGGATACAAATATGCAAGACCAGTGTTCTTGTTTCAGAATAAATTTTTATCAAACTCCATCCCTCCCACCTCTGAGTAACTACAGCTCCTGCATCAGGGTGAAGTGACTGGATCTCACATAAGTGCATTTTGAGAAGCAGATTCACCTTTGAAGGTTCACCATTTCTGAACTATACATATTACAGTACAAGTGAAAAATTCAAATACTCCAGCAGCCTAATGTCATTACCCATAAATGACTGTGACTCACCTAACTGAAGCCAGAAAGAGGAGGATTAAGACAACGTTCACAAAGAACCTGCTCCTTGCTCTTGGAGGAACACCATGTCACCAGTGGACTCCACTTGGATTATACGTTTCAGGTCCAAAACTTCAGTGCCCTGTTATATCTGGGAAGTCCAAAATCTACTTCTTAATTCTGCCTAGGATCCAGGCTCATTTAGATGTTAGCTATTCTAGTTTAAAAAACAAAATGCAACAGCTGCTATTAAATATCTTTCTCCAATACTTTTTTTTAAACTTTGACTTTAAAGCCACTTTGGAAGCACTTTACTAGGGCTGGAAAACTACCATAAGCCTTGATTTATTATTAGGTAGAGTCTGAATTGTTTCAAGTTCATTTAGCTCTCTGTTTAATATTCCATAAATTTTAAAGAGTATGTTACAATGAAATCTCTTTTTCCTCATAATTCTTTCAGAGGAAGCATTTTGCTCAAAAATAGGAAGCATTTTGTTCAAACCCCATAGGTATGTTTACTTGTTCATCAATCCCAAATTTTCAAATACCATGTAAACACTTCCCATCATGTGTAGCAATATAAATGCAAATACGGGGTTTAAATAACATAATGAAAAGCTCTGTCTCTGTAGTTAGTCTTGCATTATTTTACATCCAAATTAGTATTTAAGTACATACAGAATCACAGAATATTCTGAGTTGGAAGGGACCCTCAAGGATCATCTGGTCTGACTCCTGAT